TACCTGACAAGAATACAAAATTTAAAAAGTATTTTAGAAATGTCATTAGATAAACAGGTTCAAACCACAAAAAAGCAAACACATTAAAATCCAAGGGAGAGGGAGAATCTGAATTATCATATTTTAATATTCAAAATGTATAGTTTTTAACAAAATATTATAAAGCATGAAAAGAAACAAAAGGTATGCCTCATTCACAGAATAATTAATGTAAACTCTCCCTGATGAAGTGTTCTGTCTGGCAAAACCTACAATACCATAGAACTTTTACAATACTCTCTAGTACATGAGTGTACTAGGCAATGAAAATCTTCTGTATAACACAGAACTTTGCTTGCTAACTCAAGGCACAGGACTTAGATGGTAGTACACATTTCTATGAAAAGATGCTTGTCTATAGCATTCTACCTCACACTTTTGAAAAAAAAAAACATACCTTTAATCTGACCTTTCAATGCAAAGGTGATGAATGACAAAATAAGTATTTCTAGAAAGAAACCTCTGATATAGACAGAGCGTTTAGAAAATAAATGCTTAAAATGGTTTCTATCGTTACGGGATGATGAAGCCCCAAATTATGTTACCTATCAAAATGCTTATTTCTATACACTTAGAAGAGCTCAAAACAAGTATTTTTAACCTTCAAAAATAGCTTCCAATAAAGAATTACAGTGGTTTTGTATATGTTTGTTATGGGTTTTGTTTGTGTTTGTTAAAGATACCAAAATTTTAAAAAATATTTAATAAATTAGCAAAAACAAATGATTGTCAGCACAAGAGACAAGAGATTTAAATGTAACAGCTGGATGCTACCAAGATTTTTGTATGACTTTTTGGGTTGAAATTGGCTGGGTTTTTTTTTTTTTCTTTTTTGTGGCTGGCTGGTATGGGGATAAATAAAGATTTTAAATCAACTGTTTTAAATATGCTTAAAGGCCTGAAGGAAAACATGGACAAAGAGCTAGAGGATACCAGGAGAACAATGCATGAGCAAAATCAGTATATTAATAAAGACATAGAAATTATAAAAGGAACCAGACAGAAATTCTAAGGGATGAAAAGTACAATAGTTGAAGTGAAAATTTCAGTAGAGAGTTTCAACAGAAGAATTGAGTAAAAGAAAGATTCAGTAAATTTGAAGATAGGACAATTGAAATTATTAAGTCTAAGGAATAGGAAAGAAAAACAATAAAGAAAAGTAAACAGACTAAGAGACCTGTGAAATGGTACCACACAGACCAACATATGCTTTCTAAATGTTTCAGAAAGAGAAGAGAGAAAAGGACAAAGAAATTATTTTTAATAAATAATGGCTGAAAAATCCTCAAATTTAAAGAAAGACTGAGTCTGCACATACCAGAATATCAATCACCTCCACGTACTATATTCTAAAAGATAACCACACAGAGGCACGATTTATTAAAACTATCAAACAACAAAGATAAAGAGAACATCTTGAAAGCAGCAAGAAAATAACGCCTCATCACATGCGAATCACCCTCAATAAGAACAATAGCCAATTTCTCATCAGAAATCATGACAGTCAGAAGACAGCAGGAACCCATGCAATGTGTTGAAAGAAAAAAAAGAAAAAAGAAAAACTTGTGAGCCAGGAATTCAATGTCTGGTTAAACTGTTCCTCAAAAAGGAGGCAAAAATTAAGACATTCCGAGATTAAACAAATATATATATATATATAAACACACACACACACACACACAGTGGCCTTCTTTGTCTCTTTTTATGTTTTTCACTAATTAAACAAATACACACAGTGGCCTTCTCTCTCTTTCTATGTTTTTCAGTTTAAAGTATATTTCATCAGGTATAAGAACAGCTACTCCTGCTCGTTCTTGATTTATATTTGTGTGCTATATCTTTTTCTATCTCTTCATTATTAGTCTCTGTGTGTCTTTGAAGATGAGGTCGGTCTCCTGATGACAGCATATAGTTGGGTCTCAGTTTCTAACCCAATCTGTCAGTCTGTGTCTTTTGATTGGGGAATTTAATCCATTTACACTAAGGTGTACCATTGAAAGTGACTGTCTTACTCCTGGAATTTTATCAATTTTCATTTGGACGTTTTAAATATCTTTAGTTCCTTACTTCCCCATATATTATTTGTCTTCAGTGTTTGTTGGTTTTTGAGGTCATAAGATATCGTTTCTTTCTTTTCCTCATTTGCATTTTTGTTCTACTGGTGGGTTTTAATTTTTCTTGTGTCTTTGTGGTAGTGAGCTGATAAATGATTTTAGTTAAACTGCAGGACACAAAATCAACACGTAAAAATCAGGAGTGTTTTCATACCAAAAATCTACATGACAAATAAATCAAGAAAGCAAGCCCATTTACAATAGTCAACAAAAAAATACAATGTCTAGGAATCAATTTAACCAAGGAAGTGAAAGATCTCTACAATGAGAACTACAAATCACTGCTGAAAGAAATAAAAGAGGACACAAAATGTTGGAAAGGTATTCCATACTCTCAGATTGGAAGAATCAACATTGTGAAAATGTTCATATTACCCAAAGCAATCTACGGATTCAATACAATCCCCATGAAATACCAATGACGATCTCCACAGAAATAGAGAAAACAATCTTAACATTCATATGGAACAAGTAAAGACCCCAAATAGCCAAAGCAATCCTTAGTGAGGTGGGTGTCATGGGCCTTGATCACACTCCCTGTCCTTCCTCCTCTTCCACCCAGTTTCTCTCTGCTTTCGCCTCTCCCCCTCCCTCCAACTACTCTGCAAGAGCATCTTAGAATGAGGCACTGAGCTGGGGAAGCCGACCCCAGCCACCACTAGGCAAGCTGCGGACACTGCCCCGGGGCCGTGCCAGGGTCCTGAGGCAGGGAGCCAGGGGAAGCTGGACCCAGGTTCAATCAGGTAAAAGGAACAACAAATACACAATTTCCACATGGATAGCCCCCTGTAGACACTGCAATTGCCATGGCTGCCACAAAAGTGGCTAGTCTCTATAGCAGCAGTCACAGCCACTTTGCAGATGGCATGCCACACTCTCAACTGCATTGACGAAAGAGAAGCACCAGCAGAGACAAAAAAAAAAAAAGAAAGAAAGAAAGAAAAAGAAAAGATGCTCTCTCTACACAAATCACACTCAAGAGGAATAGGCAAAGAATCTGATTTATGATAGTAAAGGATGACTTGATCACACCTTTCTCAGTACTGGACAGATCATCTAGGTATAAAACCAACAGAGGAACAGTTAATCTGTCAGATGGACAGGACAATTCTATGGTTATTAGAGGGGAGAAGAGGGAGGGAGAGGGG